ATTATGCACGTATTATTTATGTATATATATTGAACACATTACTGCAATATATAAAATGTAAGTACTTCCGTGTTAGACAAGAAAACCACGACTAGATTGCATTTTTAATGCAATCTAGTCATGATTTTCATATCGAACACGGAACTATAAAAAGCAGCATTGCTATATACTTCTAGAAGATAAAATCATGTCATTTAAATCAGGATTACAGTCTTTCAAGTAGATAGATGCATTGGGTTTGTTTCTTTAGCGATTTATTACATAAATTTCTACATTTAGATATTATAGTGTTATTCCGTCGTATACAACTTTAATGTCGATTAAAAAACTTAGTGATGAGACCAATATGCTATTGATTTTTTTTTAATGGAAATTTTACCAACCATTATTTATTATAACTTGGAAGCGATAATAATTGATAATATCAATGCGAATTGTAAATACATTTGTATGTCTGAAAAAGAACATGGTTCGAGCAATCTTTACACAGGAAGAATTATTTTACTGATTCATATAAATTCGGAATTTGAGTTGCATTAGGCCTGTTCTTTTTAGCTAAACTTTTGCACCAGTTCATCTTTCTTCCTTTTATCTTCAGGAGGAAAGTCGAGTCCTTTTATCTTCTTTTTATCTTCAGGAGGAGTACGAGTTATACTCCAAAATCAAGAGATTCAAATATATAAATTATAAATTGTATCAAATGATGAATTGTTGATGATTGTATACCGCGAGCGCCATCCCATATTCTCACTCAGAACCAGCGATATGTACTCACGATAACTTCCATCAGAGAGAAACCTGAGAGAGAACATAAGGGCCATTTTCCTGTAACCGCAAAATGCCCCCGCGTATTACTGCCCCCTGAAGAAGTAGATTCAAACTACACAATAACATCCTTTCTTTTCAGTGCTTCTGATGATAAATTGCTGAAATCTTGTTGAAATCTCTATTAATTTAATAGATTTATTTCAGCGATTTCAGTGTGATTTACTTCCATCAGGAGCACCTGATTTATTTCCGTAAGGAGCGTATACAATTTGTTATAAACATACAATTTTACAAATTTTTCTAAAGATGTCAAAAT